ACAAATAAAAAGTGAAATAAAAAAGATATTAGCAAACTAAGAAAAAATAGTTCAAACTAATGTAAATAAATAAGTAATAAAATATTGAAAATGGTTTCAATTTTACCAAAAACTTGCAACCACTCTAAACTTTAGATTTATCTTTATCAATGGAGTCTTCATCACTAGAAGATTCGTTTTTTGGTGAGAGAGAGAGATTGGGTGTGGCGGTGGCCAAGAAGATTAGGGTTTAGTAATTTATATATTTCATTAAATACTAGATTAGAATTTGGTAAGATCTAAGACTGTAGGATTAAAATCTTTAATCTCCCACAAATCCCTATTAATTTATATTTAATACATAAAACATCAATTATCAAATATTTTTAAATAACATATATACATATATGTTATTTATAAATATCCGAGCTGGGTCGGGCCTTAACAAAAAACCTAGGCCCGAGCCCAGATTTTTCGAACCGGGCCGGGATGAAATGATCACCCCTACTAGGGATGTGAATGGGTTAAGTGGTAAACCTGTCTTGGCCCAACCATATCAGGTTAGGGGTGACCGGGTGAGTGAGGCTTATTCAAAGTTTGATTTGGGTTCAAGTTGAGGCAAACCCTTATCAAATTCGACTTGCTCACATATTGGGATTGAAGCATCACACACACACACACAATATATATATATATATATATATATATATAAAGGTTTTCAGGCTACAAACCCCACCATTCAGACACATGGCCTTCTCATTTTTATGGAAATCTAGACACATGGAATTTTTTTTGAAAAGTTGCTATTAAAGTCCACTACCCACTACCACCATTCAGACAAGTGGCATTCTCATTTTCTAGAAAGCTAGACACATGGCAATTTTTGAGAAATCCATGCTAAAGCCCATAGCCCACTACCAAACTACAACCCCCCACCATTCAAACATGTGGCCTTCTCATTTTTTTGGAAAGCTAGACATGTGACATTTTATAATAAGTTGGTGCTAAAGTCCACAACCCACTACCACCATTCAGACACATGGCATCCTATTAATTCAAGAAAGAGGATTCAAAAAGTGGGTAGTTTCACTCCTAAGCATTGCCAATAGACAATTATTTATTAGCTCAACACATGTTTATCCATAGTCTATTAAATATAAATGGTAAGACCCATTAAAAGATTACCATAAACCCATGTTTGTTTTTAAATGATTTTTTTCAAAAAGTAAATACTTTATTAATTACAAACTTGATTTAACTTTTAGGAAGCAACCTAATTTAACTTTTAAAAATAAATAACTCAAAATAGATTTATTAGACAAATAGTAAATACCAAGTAAAGTGGGCTATTGCTTACCAATAAGATCTCATTTAATATCTTAAAATCAAATTAAAAAAAACATAAATTAATAATGGTTTTCAAGTAAAATAGGTCATAATAGATTGCCAATTACAAAGATGCAAGATCCATATTAGTTTTTTTTTTTATTTATTTAACTTTTGATAACTAAATAGTAAACTTCAAGCTGAAATATACACTCATTTAGTTACCCCGTACTTAGTACGGGGGTCATTCTCTAGTTAACTATGACGACTGAGTATAGGGATGTTAGCTTTGGGATGGGTTTGGGTGGATTTGGTATTTCATTTAATCCAATTTATTATCATTACTAGTGAGGGGCGTGTAATGCACGGGATGGGGCATCACTCCTTGTCCCTCGTCCTCGTAAGTTAAGACATTCTACTATCACCTCGACCTCAGTGGCGGAGTGGGTGGGCGAGGCACCCATTCCCCATTGGGGATGGGGAATCCCCAAATTTTCCCCACCTTGAGGCAACCACCTAAAATAATCTAACTTATAGATACTTTACAAATATGATTATGTGAAATTGGAGGTATTTTAGGAATTAGATTATAACAATTTGGGGTATTTTATAAATGAAATTATGGGATCCTAGGATTATAAGAATATGAGAAAAACTTAGAGATATTTTAAAAATCAATATTAAATCTTTCGATATTTTACTTATTTACCATTGGGTTTGAGGAATTATGCAAACCCCATCCCTAAGTTGGGGCAAAAATATTTTCCCTGTCCCCACTCTGTCTCTGCCACGTCACCATTTAAGATTTGAGAAAACTTGCCCCGTTTGGTTTTATAGAGAAAATTTTCATCTCTACAATTCTAATAATTTTCTATAACTAATTAACTAATAGTAAAGTAAATAACACTAAATTATAATATTTTATGATAATTTCCAAAAAATATTGAAAATGCTATTAATTAGTAGTAATGTGTAGTAAATTAATTATTTACAATAACAATAAATTAATGTGAATTATTTACCTTTTAAGTCTAAATTATTCACTATTAATCAATGTGATGTAATTATAGTAAATTAATGTGATTATGGTAAAATACATTAATTTTAATTAAAGTAAATCATTTGTTGTTAATTAATATAAAACCAAGAGTGGTTGGAGTCAATCAAGTGGTCTAGACCGGTGTGGATAGATTTAATAATTTTCCTAAATTATTTCATAATTATTTATTGATAATGGATAATAATGGATTGTTATTTAAATAAATATAAAACAATTTCTGATAGATTAATTTCCCAAATTATTTTTTCTAATTTTTTAATAATTATTTAATTGAATAATAATAATGGATTATTATTTGAATAGTTTTGGAATTTTTTTCATAGATTAATTTCTTAATTGTTTAATTACATATTTAAAAATAATTATGGATTATTAGTTAAAGAGTTTCTCTAAATTATTTGATAATTGTTAACTATAATTATTGATTTTATAGAAATTAGTAAATTGTGATAATTAGTAATATCTTTTATCAATAAATTATTATTGTAAAAATTAATGAAAATTTATTAAAATACAATGATTAATGTAAATTACGCTAAACATTAAAATTTTGAACATTTATTAATAACCAAAACTTATTAAATAATGGATTTTTATTAATTTTTGGTAGATTATTAAATTGTTTATTTTTTGTTAAATAATGGATTATTTCTGAAATCACGTCTATAGATATAAATATTGTTTGATTTGGAAAACCAAATCTTAATAAATTATGACCAAGGATCAAAGTATCGGCATTGAGTATCATATCGGACAATTTGGATACGGATACGCTTTGGGAACACATGGATACAAACAAAAAAAATGGAAACGCTTAGATACGTTGGAGAAACACATACAAATTCCATAAATATATTAATAACACTAAATTTAAAATCAAATAGTCGCAAATAATGTATAAATACAAAGGAAATGTACATTTTAATGGTATATATGACAAAATATATTACAATTAATATAGCATGATGCATAAATATCACACAATTTTATTGATAATGCATCAATCAAGAGTCCACGACACATAACATATGCATATATTATATTTCAATTATTTTCTTTTTTACTATTTTTAATTTTTTACATTAACAAAAATGTCAACTAAATATTAAATTCTCAAAATGTAAACTAGAATATCAATTAATAATTTATAAAAAATATAATTTCAATTTAAAATATATCAAACCTGTTAAAATTTCTAAGATATAATATGCAAAATTTTAATTACAAATATAATTTTTACATTATTGATAGTTTTATTTCTATAGTTTTTTTCTAAAATTAAAAATCATTTTTTGGTATAAATGTTGATTAGTAGAGTTGATAGATTCTATTTAATATTATACTCTCAAATATTTTCTAAACATTTTTTAATATGTTGTTATTTAATGTAATGTAAATTAAAATATTAATTAATTAATAATTTAATATATATATATATATTAATTTTAAGTATTAAAATAATTATTTTATTATTAATATTTTATTTGCATTAATTTCTAGAGATTAAAATCATCTTTTGGTTTAATGTAGATTTGATAGATTATTTATTCCATAGGTTTGTAAAATATCAATTTTGAATATTATTTTTTCAATTTTTAGTTAAAATTGTTATACATAAATAACCCATTGGGAAGGAAGAGGAATGAAGAGAGAAGATGCTGAGATGGCAGTTTGGGAGTGGTGGAAAGGGGAAAAAGAGAGAGAGTCAAAGAGAAGTAAGGTGATGTGGACTGTCTTGCTATATATATATATATATAGATTGTTATTGTTATTGTTAGTATTGATAGATAGTTTAATACAATTTTATAGTTAAGCCGGGTCTGGTCAGATTTTATAGGTTTTGGGTGAGATTCGGGTATAGTCAAACCCGACCCGTTGATATTCATGCCTAACTGCCTATCTCTATAGAAGCTGCGTTTTAAATGTAATTTATGGCCTTTCTTAATAATATATATTTGGAAACTCAATTAGCTTATTGCATATTTTCTTTACCAGATGTGGCTGTGGAGGCTGGGGAGCTGGGTCGGGCAATGGGCATATTCAAATTTCAGTTGTTGGACCGTAACCTACAGCCCCAAGCCCATTAGCTTGAGTCCATGACCAGTTAAACCCTCGACCACAAGGGCCCATTGCTCCCTTGGGGGAGTGGCTTCCAGAAGAGCAAAGGGAAAAAAGCTCTCTGCCCATGCACGTGCTACCAACTGAGTTCACATGAAGGCAAATAACAAGATGGGCAATTGAGCTTAATGTCCATCGTCATCATCATCATTAATATCACTAATAGCTAACATGCTACAACCCGCTCACAATTTATCCGACTTCCCATGAATCCAATACCGTTAGATCAATGGCATCCCAGGGCGATGGGACGATGGCCCACATCCGCTTCAGGCCGAATATTGTTAATTGCTCAGGCTAGAAGGTGGGAGGGTCAATGCTTTTGAATTTGATAGGTCAAAACTTTCCTACGACAGTGTGGTTGCCCAGCATTGATCGTCCTACGCGTTCAAATACCTACTTCATCTATTATTATGCACGTGCAGGGCAGTAGAACCTGTAAATCAAAAGTATGCCAATGCCCACTTCATTCATTGAGTTGAAGCCTATTAATTCCAGCCCCAGGCCCAACCAAGCCCACTATAAGTAACTGGATTCTCATTCTCTCTCCCTCTCCTCAGGTACCTCCATAGCTCCACTTGCTCTGCAACTCTCTCTCTCTCTCTGATGGGGAATCATGTGAAGCATGTTCTCTTTCATCTATTCTCCTTCGTTCTTGTAACTGGTAAAGAAAACAGGGTTTGCTATTGTCTTTCTTCTATTATTTGTTCATGAAACACAGCCGGAATTATTCTTCTTCACTTGTTTGGGATTCCTGGAGTTGATCCTCATTAATTTTGTAAATTTACAGGAGTTCAAGTGGTTCAAGGTTCACCTCATCACAACCACCACCATCACCGTCACCACAAACTTGGTTTTTCCAAGCTGTTCGTCTTTGGTGACTCTTATGCTGACACCGGGAATAACCGGAAGTCTGAAGCTAGTTCGTGGCACCAGCCTTATGGGATCACTTTTCCGGGGAAACCAGTCGGCCGTTACTCCGACGGCCGGGTACTGACAGACTACTTAGGTGTGTTATTCATTCCTTTATAACAGCAGTTAGGCCCCCACCCTCTCTCTCTCTCTCTCACACACACACATAAGAAATGTACTTTCACTGGTTTGTGACAAGTAATGTGTTTTACTTTTATCTTTCTCTAATGGTTTGCTTTGCTACCTTGCTTTCGTTTTCCTCCATGATTTCTCTCTCTCTCTCTACACACACAAACACAAGCACAGGCATGACTGAAGATAGAGTTTGGACTCAGGATCATTGAATTGATTTGCCCAGTTTTTTCTTTTGGGTACGTGAGGAATTGATAGAAAAGATTGAAAATTTACCCTGTAATGTATGAATAGTTGTTGAATTGGCAAATTTTGTTTGGGCTTATACTCTAAGGATTTCCAAGCAAAAGATTCCAAATGGTGGGCTTGCACTGGCCCACCGCAAATGGTTCACCTTTAGTTTTTGGCCTCTTCCTGTACTTTTTGCATTATTATGTCCCTTGCCGCCTCCTTTTTTCTTGTTTTCCCCATTTTTATATTAGCAATTTTCTTCTTATGAAATCAGAATCCCCCCCACCAGCATCTTCTCTTTTTCTTTATTCTTACTTCCTCACGTGACCTCATGCTTTTAGTTGTAGCTGTGAGCTGTGTCATTTTCCCCTTTTCCTTTCTTTTTTACACTTGAAGTCTGCTTCTCATCTGCTCTGTCAGTTAAATGGGCTATCTCCATAGATCCTTTTATGTTTCTACTTTACTTTTATTATTATTTACTACCTGTTTCTTCAATTTACTTCTTGCTTTACTATTGTTTTCCTTTCCTAGGTGCTTTCTTATTTAATTATTATTAATTTCAAAGTTTTGCTTTTTCTTCCCATTATTTAAATAAAAAAGGTTATTTGTTCTAGAGAACTGTGGAAACTAGCTAGAAGCCTCCTTTTCTTTTCTAGTTTTGCATTTTCGCTAGCTGTCTTTAAACCCCACAGTCAAAAATTCCGGTTCAAAGCATACACAAAAGATGTATATTATTTTAACAGGGAATTGCTTTTACAGTATGGGCTTTTTCACTTTTTTTTTTATTTATTAGAATTATTTGAAGATATTGAATATAAAGATTAAATATTACTTATTATTCTTCTAAATAGATCTATAATGTTATACATGTAGTGGTCATCATTTGGACCATAATCGATTTGGGTGGTGATCCTGTTGTTCCAGAAATCAAGAAAAGGAAAGAAAAATACAAAACAGAGAAAAACACAAAGAATGGACCAAAGAAATGCTGGTTTGGATGTGAGGCTTAGGAAAATGTTAGCGTTATATAATAGATATAAATATATATATATATATATATATATATAATTAATAGAGCGACACATGCAAAAAAGTGAGAGAGGATATAGTGGAAGGAGGAATAATATTAGTAAAGGTATATTGTGAAGTAATGGTTGACTGGATTTATAAATAATACTATATATATTTCTATAGCAAGAATAAGAGATAAAGATAGTACGGGAAATTGCATAAGTAGAAGGGGTATTCTGCCATTCTGGTTTCTGGGCATGTAAAATTTGAAAATCATCTAATATATCTAGGGCGTAAAATTTTCTATTTTTATATAAGTTGTAAGATATAAGATATATGAAATACCTTGTATAGATGATATAGGGTTGGATTATGATACCGAAAAACTTGTAATCAATCAACTAGTATCATGAAAATGATAATCAACTAACCAATCAGATGGTATTTACCAAAATTCACCAGGGGATTTGATTGGTCAAAGCTCTTCTAATATCATGTCTTTCTGGTAACATAGATTTTCTTGAATGGGGTGTGGTGGACTTTTGCAAAGGGTTGAGGCTTGACCCACTTTTACTTGTCCACGGCACCCATTCATCAGATTCATAGAACAGTCAATTAATTAAATTGTTAAAATTGCCTAATTGTAGGCTCAATTTAATTTATCTTAGGGTTTGTAATGGGCATAATAGCAAATTCAAGAAGCAAGAGGTAATGAGAATAAAATCAAGGAATAAGAGACACCATAGTGTGTTGTTGCATGTTAGATAGAACATGCCATTACTACTATGTTTTCACCCTGATACACATAAGCCATTCACAGAAGTTGGTTTAATCAGAGCTCATAAACAATAAGGTTTTTGTAGTTCTTAATCTGCACAAAATAAAAAACAAGGGTACATCTCCGTGCTTTGTCTGTTAATACTCTCATATTTAAGCTAAGTGATATATTGTCACCCATTTTCACCTCTGACCAAGCAATACATCTGCTTATGATTCATATTGTCTTAAATGATTCAAATCATGTCTGATGACTTGGAATCAACCATATTGAAATGGTTGGGGAAATTAGAGAGCCCCAGTTATCCAACAAATAGCTTGCTTGGTAACTACAATTAGAGTGCATTATTTTGATTTACATGGCTGTTATATTTGGTTTGACACACACATACACACACACAAAAAAAAAAAAAAGATAGAAACAGAAAGCTTTCCAATAAAAATGAAACTAAATTGGTTGTGGGTGGGTTTGGTTTTAAAAATTCTCTAAGTAATAATTAAAAAAAAAAAACTATGTAGGTATTATTGGTGCTTACGTTGCATAACAAATTGCTATTTGTATAATATAAAAAATCTAGCCTTATGTATAATCACCTAGATATCCTTAAGACTGTGTTTGTTTTGACAGAAAATAAGAGAGAAATGGAAAGAAAGGTTGTATTTATGGGGCAACTTTATCACTAATCTGTGCACATGGGTCTTTTCTAGTTAATTATTAAAAAATATGCATGTTGCAATTATAAGGCAAATAAATTACCTTTAGAGATAAAGATGAAATAATARTTTTATGGTAACGATAAAATTTAAAAAAAAAATGAGATAACTAAAGCATTCAATGGTGATGGGGCATAAGGTTAATGTAAGCTACTAACTTACATTGCACTAACAACTCTTGGGGATGTCCCAGTTTTTTGTTCTGGGCCTCAATTTGTCACCCATAAAGACTGGTATTTGGCCCATTCTTTGAAATTTCACCCCCCCAAAAAAATCCATAACTATGGCCCATGGCAACAATCATGAAAGAAAGTAAAGTTGACAATTTACTTACTACTTTTTCTTTCAACAGTTTTCCTTTTCTTTTTTTTTTCCCTTTGTTGTTAAGTATTTGCTATAACTTTTCTTTATCAATTCTGTGGATTGCATGATCAGCTTCTTTCGTCGGAATCAAGTCTCCAGTACCTTACAGATGGAGAAATGTTGCGACAAAACGACTAAGATATGGGGTGAATTTTGCTTATGGAGGAACTGGGGTGTTTGATACACTGGTTCCTGACCCAAATATGACGACACAAATTGACTTCTTTCAACAGCTCATCCATGATGGAGTGTACAACAAGAGTAATCTCAACTCTTCTATTGCTCTCGTCTCACTTGCTGGGAATGACTATACTACTTACATGGCCAAAAATGGCACTGCAGAGGTGATTGCTAACAACTCTTAAATTCATCGATGATTCCCAACCTTTTTTCTTATTTTCTCAGTTTGTTTGTATCAATGTTTTCAAAACCAGACTGGATCAGAAAAACTGAGAACCGGTCACCGGTTCTATTTCAGCCCAGAACTACTTTTTGGTCAAAAACTATTGATTTGGTCAGCGAACTGGTGACCTGGGCAGTTAAACTGTTGACTCGTTGATCCGGAGAATGTTTTTTTGCCGTTTTTTATTTTTTATTATTTTTTAATTTTTTGTCAGAATGGGCCATTCATTCGGTTCGAATGCTCGGATTATTCGATCCAAGAACTGGACCCCAGAACGATTCCCTATCCGGTTCAGTTTTAAAAACCTTGGTTTGCAGTGTGATTTTCATTTGCATTGGTGTAAATGCATAAGAGTGTAAATAGGTTGAGTGTAAATTCTGATTTACTTTTGTTTTATATTTAACTTTATTTTGATGGTGGACCTTGGTGCAACGGTTGGATTACTCCATTGGGTAATCAAGGTTTAAATTTTGGAAACAACCTCTTTGTATGTGCAGGGGTAAGGCTGTATGTATATTGGCGGGAGCCTCATGCATCGGGATGCTCTTACTTAATTTCATTTTATTTGTTTGTGAGAAATAATTAATGATGTGGTCTCCACCTTGTATGCAATGGAATGGTGGTCGGAGAAGGGTTATTATTAGTTTTGGTGTGAGGTAGGGTTATCATATGAGAGAGGATTGAGGTAGATGGAAGATAGTGTAAAATTTGCATCAGTTTTTGAGAAATAAAATCTGTACTGTCAGTAAATGCAAATTATGAGACAAAAAGTATAAATTTTGTATTAGGTAGCAGAGCAAATCATAATTACAGACATAAAAGCAAAAGCTTTGCTAATATAAAATAGATTTGATTCACAAAGATACTATATTGGTCAATATTTTTAGAAGGCTAACTTGGTCAGAACTTGCTCTTTGACAGATAGGGCAGTGGATGCTTACAATCATATAATCTTTTATTGTATGGTGCATGAAGAGCCAAATTAACTTGTACAAATCATTACTAGGTTCAAAGGGTGCATGAGTAGAAATTCAAACTCTTTATTCTCTAATGCAAAATCAAATTGTTGGTGCATGAAGAGCCAAAGTTACAAATCATTACTAGGTTTAGTGAAGCTTATGAACTTTTATTGAACTCTATGGTGTGGTGTATTGACAAAGAAATTAAAAGAAATTGTGCATCAAAATCATGACTTTGTTTGTTTATTTTTGTATCTTCCAGGGCTTGTCAGCCTTCACCATATCCATCATTAATCAACTAGCTATAAACCTAAAACGCATTCAAGGTCAGGGAGTGAAGAAAGTTGCAGTTACAGCAATCGAGCCCATTGGGTGTCTCCCTCAAAGCGCAGCCTCGTCGTCTTATCAGCAATGCAATGAAACCAATAACATGGCTGCCATGTTCCACAACCTCTTATTACAGCAAGCTGTGGAGAAGTTGAATAATGAGACCAAGGGGTCCACCTTCATGGTTCTTGATCTCTTCAATGCTTTCATGTCCATGTTCAATAGACAGAAAGACCATCCAGGTGATCATCTATCAACTTAATTTGAGCCAAAACATTTGTTTCAACCACCCAAGTATTAGTTTTATTGTAAGATAGCAGGTTTGGACCGGTTTAATAACAGGTTGAAAACATTGATAGAGTACTAATAGCTGCACACATTATGGTTGTCTCTTCATTTTGTTTTTGGCTAAATTGGGAAGTCTTCCTCTTGTAATTAGGATCGTATTCCCACAACCTCCGAAKTGTATTGTCAAAGTCCCTTTGGTCGATTACACCAAAATCTAGGCTTTATTAGCTTTTACTTGACAATAAAATGATAAATATTTTAAAGGTCCCTTTTTCCTGTTTAATTTCTTATTCTCTCTTTCTTCTTTGCACAGCCGTGCACAGACATTGAAACACTCATGGTGTAAGCTTAATGAGAAAGAGGCTTTAACTAACATTTTTAGTTTTAAGGTTGATTCTTCCGTTTGATGATCAAGTGTTGTAGTGTTAGATCCTTGTGACCTTGTTGTCTCTATTATAATTAATTAAACTTCAGCACAAGGTATGAATGGGCCTGTTCTTATCCATGCTTCAAATTTGATTGGCTTTCATGTAAGAAGGCATGCTAAAAAAAAAACCCCATTCAGGGACCTTACCTAACAGATTTAAGCTTTAAGATTGAACATTTCCTTGGTACAGGGCAAAAACTTTAAATCAACTGCTCTTATTCATATGCTATGCTTATGGAATTTCCTAACTCGTTGACATCATGTAAGTAACTGAATTAGGATATAGTCAATTCCATTGATCTCACCCATGAAAGTGAATTGGACATCAACCAAATTTATAGGCATAGCAGGCCTATCCAGATTTTGGCAAGTATATATCAAGTTATCAACTGTTTTGAAATATAAAAGACTTCCTCTGTTGACCTTTCAATGATCATTTAATTTTAGATACCATAAATCTGATCTGTTTCCATTTGCGATATTCCCCCATTGATTGTAATCAAGTTTGCACATGAAAATTCATCTCGTATTTGCATTTTTTCCGAACTGAACCTTTGTTATAATTTCTAAATTGTTTGTTGATTTTTAATTTCCATGCTGAAGATAGTTTCCAGCTATTTTGCATTTTAAGATTAATTTGGTTTCATCTCTTGAACAGGAATTATGAAGTTTGGTAATCTTTTGAAACCATGCTGTGTGGGTACAAGTGCTGAATACTCGTGTGGAGACATAGATGAGAATGGTGTGAAGAAGTATACAGTATGTGAAAACCCTGAATCTACCTTTTTTTGGGATGATGTGCACCCTTCACAGGAAGGTTGGCATGCAGTCTATTCAGCTTTACAAATTTCTCTCGACCAACTCTATATCTAACTCCATACCCTTTCTTGTGTGATATGGTTTCCCCTATTTTCATTCTTCTTTTCCCTTTTCTTCCTATTGCATTTTTGTTTTATTTTATTTTATTTTCTGATACACCAATAGTGTTTTCATGTTTTGATATTCTTGATCCAACGGCTTCTAGTGGAGGGTGTAATGCGCATGCATCAAACATTTCAATGAGTTCAAAATATGACTAAATCCAAACATCCAACCTGACATTGGGAACATCTTCCTATGATAACATACATGTAAAGGAGATATTCCCTATATGTAGTTGGATGCCCTGTGCACAGAGTTTTTATTCGTAGTAGTTTCGGACTCCACAAGTATGAACATCCAAACCCCCTTCCTAATTTCCTATTTTTTTTATTTTATTTTTTAATCCACACAATTACCCATTAAACCAATAAGGAAATAACATAAGCTTAACTATTTCTAACAAACATAAGGAAAGAAGGATTTGCTTTTCTAATATTTAGCCAAGTGGCACCACTTTTCCCCCATTTTCTCTTAAATTGTCTCTAATTTCTATTTATCTCCTAAACTATTTCTACTTCCTATTTATCCTCTCCTCCACTTTTAGTAGAAAGAGTCTCTCATAACTTTAAAATATTTATTCAAAACACAAAAATTAATTATAATAGATTTAATAATATTTATGTTATTAATAATTTTAGATTCTTACAAGATTCATCAAGAAATCATGTAGTAACAATATAAATTATAATTTTATGAATAACTCAAATTAAATGTTATTCAAACAATAAAAATTTAACATTAAAAATAAAATATTATTTAAATATTTCAACAACTAAATATCTTAAATAACAAAACATTAAAAATATCTAAATAATTATATAACAAAGTATTTAATATTATGTAATTACTTTTAAAATAAATAAAATTCAAATAATAAAAAAATATTTTAGATATTATTTAAATATTCAAATAATGAAATATTTAACATGACTAAATTTTAAATAGTTAAAATAACGAAATTATGTAATAAATTTAAAAAATTTCTTAAAAATAGAAAAATGATTATTGTATATTTCATATTAATAATAATTTAATATTTTACAAAATTAATAACGAACTATGTAATAATAGTACTAATTATAATTTTATTGTTTATTAAATTCAATAAATAATTAATGTTTTAAAATTTTAAATAACAATATTATTTAAATAATTAAATAATATTGTAAATAACTAATTTCACTTATATCAATTAATAATTATAGAAAATAACTTTCAAAAAAATTAATATTTATTAGTAATGATTTTTCAATAATAGTATATATTCATTATATATTTATATATACTAAAATTAATATTTATTGTATTTTTTGATAAATATGTTTTCAATAATTATTTATAAATCGATTTTTGTTTTGTTATTTAACAGAAAATTGTCAATAATTATTGGAGATGAAGCAATTATTATTTAACTTTTGGAATTTAATTTATTGTATTTTTTGTTATAAATTTATTTTTAGTAATTATGTGTTTTTATAATTGATTGATTAATATTTATTAGAGATTAAACTATTATTTGAGATTACACTATTTATTGACTAATTTAATATATTTTCATTATTTATTGTATTTTTATTAGATATCTATTGTATTTCAATTATAAATTTGTTTTCAATAATTTTGTATTTTTAATATAAAATTTCAATAATTATTGGAGACTAAACTATTGTTATATATTTATTAGAAATTAGACTATTAATTTAGTTGAAATTAGGAGTGTTCAAGGGTTGGTTTATTTCGGATGCAGGTTGTTTCACCAACCAAATCGACCTAGTGAGGTTGGGAGTTTGTCACCCGAAATTGACTAACCATTAGTGAAAACCCGCCAACTCGGGTTGTATCAGTTTGGGTCTATTTTTAGTTTGGTTTGTTTGTTCAAAAGATTTAAAATTGAAAAATAAATTTAAATTTAATAAATTATAGTGATATATATATATACAAATGGCCAAACTAAAATTGACCTAATTCGGTTGGGTTGAAAAATTGTTGAACCAAAGTCGATCGGAAATACTAGAAAACCAACAAACTCGAATCGAGTTCAATCGAATTGATTATTAAAAAAATTAAAATATAAAATAAATATATATTCTTATATATTTCTATTGTTTAACTTTCGCTTAACAAAACCTGTACATCACACGATCCCTGCTAGTATATTCATATTTCCAAGCATTCTTAATATCGTGAAGTTGTCAAGGTAATTTCTTCCTTGATGATGCTACTGCATCCCAAGATTAAGGGTGCAACTTGAGAACTTGAGCCCGGACTGGCCCAGCCTGAGGTTTTATATGGGCTATGCTTGAATTTCAGTCCATGATCTGGGCCTAAACCCGAAACCTTGTTTTTTCATTTATTGGGCTATGCCCTGGCGGAATATACAATATTCCTATTAAATGTTTTAAATTATTGATACTAAATAAATCTAGGGATTTGTTTTTTAAATACATTTGTCTTAATTGGCCTACTTGAGCCCGACTGACCAACCAGACTGTGTCAAATTTCAGGCTTGACCTTTGGGGTCGGTCTGATATTGGTTCTGGTTATCCTTGAATCTGAACCATTCTGACCAAATTGCATTCCTCCTCAAGATGATGCAAATGGATGAATGCAAATTCTGGTTTACTTTGTTTTGTTTTGTTTGGTTCAGTTGCTTTGAAAAAGGTATTGTAAAAATGCTCGTATGGCACATAGATGGCTGTACAATGATCAAATTTTGCTATCCTTATTTTTTTTTTACCAAATATCACTGATATAGTTATGTAGGTTTTTTGGGTGAGCCACACCTTGCAAAGTCATGTGTTTGGAGGAGAAGCCCTTTTACTCAAATCGATCCAACCCACAATTTTATATGGTCTGGTTTAGATTTTAGGGCCTCAGTCTGGGCTTAGGCTCAGAAGTTTGGACCTTTTTTTAATTTTTTTGGGTCTTACTTGGGCTTAGCCATTAGATAGCCCAAGCCTGACTCTATCTTATCCTAACCTGAGCATTGGATATTAAAATTTATATTAAATTTAACCTAAGCTGACTGATCAACTCTTGCTTAGCGTTGGATCGAGTCCAATTTGAATGCATCAAATTTCAATTTGGGATTGAGCCTAAATTGAATAGTTCGGTGCTTGGGCCTTAGGCTCAATGCTTGGATTGAACTTAAACGCAACCCAATCCACCCGACTTGCACCCTACCCAAATGATCACTTGATCAGTTCTACGTATCTTTGAAAATGATTTTAGAGACTTATGTGGTTTGATACTTAACCTAACCAATTTGTAATTACATAACCAATTATAATCAGTTCAAAAAGACATTTTTTTTATTGTACAGTTAAAGGGAATTAGGAATTTAATTTTAAAATCGATCTCCCCAGCAAGGTCATAAATGAGCTATACATGAATAAGGTATGGTTATATATATATATATATATATATATATATATATATATATATATATATNTGTATTGTCAAAGTCCCTTTGGTCGATTACACCAAAATCTAGGCTTTATTAGCTTTTACTTGACAATAAAATGATAAATATTTTAAAGGTCCCTTTTTCCTGTTTAATTTCTTATTCTCTCTTTCTTCTTTGCACAGCCGTGCACAGACATTGAAACACTCATGGTGTAAGCTTAATGAGAAAGAGGCTTTAACTAACATTTTTAGTTTTAAGGTTGATTCTTCCGTTTGATGATCAAGTGTTGTAGTGTTAGATCCTTGTGACCTTGTTGTCTCTATTATAATTAATTAAACTTCAGCACAAGGTATGAATGGGCCTGTTCTTATCCATGCTTCAAATTTGATTGGCTTTCATGTAAGAAGGCATGCTAAAAAAAAAACCCCATTCAGGGACCTTACCTAACAGATTTAAGCTTTAAGATTGAACATTTCCTTGGTACAGGGCAAAAACTTTAAATCAACTGCTCTTATTCATATGCTATGCTTATGGAATTTCCTAACTCGTTGACATCATGTAAGTAACTGAATTAGGATATAGTCAATTCCATTGATCTCACCCATGAAAGTGAATTGGACATCAACCAAATTTATAGGCATAGCAGGCCTATCCAGATTTTGGCAAGTATATATCAAGTTATCAACTGTTTTGAAATATAAAAGACTTCCTCTGTTGACCTTTCAATGATCATTTAATTTTAGATACCATAAATCTGATCTGTTTCCATTTGCGATATTCCCCCATTGATTGTAATCAAGTTTGCACATGAAAATTCATCTCGTATTTGCATTTTTTCCGAACTGAACCTTTGTTATAATTTCTAAATTGTTTGTTGATTTTTAATTTCCATGCTGAAGATAGTTTCCAGCTATTTTGCATTTTAAGATTAATTTGGTTTCATCTCTTGAACAGGAATTATGAAGTTTGGTAATCTTTTGAAACCATGCTGTGTGGGTACAAGTGCTGAATACTCGTGTGGAGACATAGATGAGAATGGTGTGAAGAAGTATACAGTATGTGAAAACCCTGAATCTACCTTTTTTTGGGATGATGTGCACCCTTCACAGGAAGGTTGGCATGCAGTCTATTCAGCTTTACAAATTTCTCTCGACCAACTCTATATCTAACTCCATACCCTTTCTTGTGTGATATGGTTTCCCCTATTTTCATTCTTCTTTTCCCTTTTCTTCCTATTGCATTTTTGTTTTATTTTATTTTATTTTCTGATACACCAATAGTGTTTTCATGTTTTGATATTCTTGATCCAACGGCTTCTAGTGGAGGGTGTAATGCGCATGCATCAAACATTTCAATGAGTTCAAAATATGACTAAATCCAAACATCCAACCTGACATTGGGAACATCTTCCTATGATAACATACATGTAAAGGAGATATTCCCTATATGTAGTTGGATGCCCTGTGCACAGAGTTTTTATTCGTAGTAGTTTCGGACTCCACAAGTATGAACATCCAAACCCCCTTCCTAATTTCCTATTTTTTTTATTTTATTTTTTAATCCACACAATTACCCATTAAACCAATAAGGAAATAACATAAGCTTAACTATTTCTAACAAACATAAGGAAAGAAGGATTTGCTTTTCTAATATTTAGCCAAGTGGCACCACTTTTCCCCCATTTTCTCTTAAATTGTCTCTAATTTCTATTTATCTCCTAAACTATTTCTACTTCCTATTTATCC